TATGACGAGTCCATACCTCCGGACTTGATGGAGTGATCTGAAGGTGTAATTCAGTGATTACAGCTGGAACTCCTAGACTAGTAGAACTAGGCGTGCCGAGTTTGGGTTCATTTTGTTAGTTATGATGAGACTTTACCACCGGTCTTGATGGAGTGACCTGAAGGTGTAATTCAGTGATTACAACTGGAACTCCTAGATTAGTAGAACTAGGCGTGCCGAGTTTGGGTTCGTTTTGTTAGTTATGATAAAACCTTACCACCGGACTTGATGGAGTGACCTGAAGGTGTAATCAGGTGGTTACAACTGGAACTCCTATACTAGGGGACCTACACCTTCACACAGTCGACCTATTAAAATTAATATAAATAAAACGCGATAAAATCCGTAAAAGTAGTTTTAATCAAAAATCTCTAAGTTTGCTGATAATTGCTTCACTATCTGTATTATTCATTTGGAAAAATTCAATCCACTTTTAATGTGTGTCTACAATAATTAAAAATGGTTTGTTGGATAAAGAAAACATGTCCAAATGAACTCGTTCCTAAGAACATTTCGGAAATGGCCACGATTCTGGTGGAGAACAGGGAGGATCACAGCGGAGCGAGTTGCAAATACAACACGAGCTTATTGTTTCTTCAATCTGCTTATCAATATTGGGCCAACACATACGAGATCTCGCTTAATTTTTAGTCTTTACAATGCCAAAATGGGCCTTATGCAATTCTTTAAGTAGATTTTCTTTAAAAACTGTTGGTATAACCACTTTATGTCCCCTTAATAAGCACCCGTTTTCGACACTTGAATTATTTTTACATTCAAAATACGGTTTAAGTTCCGTGTTGTGCATTTTCAATGGCTATTTATAACAAAATTTATAATTTCACAGAGTATTTGATTTTGCACAGTTTCTTTCCTAATATCATTTACCGTAATAGGCTTAACATATTATAGTTAATAAAATTAATAATTAAATTAGTTTGATCTGGGCTACATTCAATATTTTCAGAACAATTATTTACTGAACATCGTGATAAAAAATCGGCAACATTATTTTCACTCTTGACATACTCTATTTTAAAATTGTACGCGGACAAAAATATAGCATATCGTTGAAGACTATTCGCTAGCATTTCAGGTATACCTTTTTTACCGCCAAAAATCGACACCAAGGGTTTGTGATCACTTCGCAAAATAAAAGGGGTCACGCGGTCGTATAAATAGTGGTGAAACTTTTTTATAGCAAAAATGATAGCAGTCGCTTCTTTTTGAATTTGTGCACAATTTCGTTCGGCATTTATGAGCGAGCGCGATGCGTACGCCACCACTCACTCAACGCCGTCAAGCTGTCGCTGAGCGAGCACTGCGCCGAACCCGTTCGGCCCCGAATCAGCCATCACTATTGTAATTAGGTCGGGATTATAAAGTGCCAACACCCTGTCAGACGCTAATTCATATTTTATTTTATTGAATACTTCTAAATGTTTTTCTTGCCACACCCACTTTACACCGTTTTTTTAAGTGAATGCAAGGGTGCCAATAAACTCGATACTTTAGGCACAAATCCTCTATAATAATTAATAAGCCCTAAAAATGATTTCAATTCCGTAACGTTATTAGGACATTTTCTTTCTAATATTGCTTTCACTTTATTGTTTGATATATGTAGTCCTGACTTATCTATGATAAAACCTAAATACTCAATAGAGTGTTTAAATAAATCGCATTTATCATCCTTTAATCTAAGTCCTGATTCCTGTTGTTATGTTTGTTTTAGGTGTTCCTCTTTTGTTGGGGCCGTTATTAAGATATCGTCTAAAAATACGCAAAATACTTGGGGCGCATGAAAGTCCGAAAACTAATCTATTATAATAATAAAACCTATGTGGGTGTTAATACACATTCTTCAAGCTCTAGAAGGCTCTAGAAAGATCTAATTTTGAAAATTGGAAGCCACCATGAAGCTTAGCAAATAAATCTTCTGTTTGTGGAAGCGGGTAATTATCAAAAATTTATTCAACGTCACTGAATAATTGCCACATATGCGTATGTTATCGTCTGATCGAAGAACGGGTACGATCGGTGTCGCTACCTCTGAATAATCTACGCGTTCTAAAATACCTAAGTCTAAAAGTTTATTTAATTCTAACTCATCTTTATGTTTCAAAGCTAATGGTACTGTTACTCGGTACTCGGCTTAAAACTTTAACTGAGCATCTTTTTTATTTTTAAAGTTACTTTATATTTATTAAAAGTTCCCAGCTCATCTGTAAACAATTGTGAATATGTTTCCTTCAATTCTTTTACACAGTTTCATACATGTCATACACGTTATAAAATTACGACCCAACAGAACTGGTTGTTTTATATCTGTTTTATAATATAAAAACGAATAATCTCAGTACGATTTTCATACGTCACCGGTAGTAAACAATAGCCCAAAGGAGATATTTTCGAGCCGTTATAACAATTTAAAATAACGTTACAATGGCTTAATGAATAATAATTATTGTGAAAATAGGATTGATAAACCATCTCCGGTAGAACAAATACAGCACTACCACTGTCTGTTTCACGACCAGTCTCATCGGCATACCGTTTCAACACCCAATATTATAAAAATCATATGAAATACCTTTACATCAGCATAATATGAGAAAAAAATATATAAAAATGAGGATTCCGAAAGAAATGATAGGCTCAGAAGGGCTAGAACCCAGAGCCGTAAAGCCAGTTAAATAAAAAAATCCTATAAATTACGTTTTTAAGGGAATCTGATTATGGAGTGTAAAAGTAAGGAGTACCAACTCCCATAGTAGAATAGTTGAAAAAGTGGTCATCTGTAAGCAGTAAATAACAGCTCAAAAACTCTCCACAACAGTGCTGGAGTAGCTACTGGGATGAAATGAACTTAGCAGTAGTTGACGGTTTAAGTGTGCTGCTAAACTGCTCAGTAGCTCTAAAATCTTAAATAATTTTATTTAGTAAATATAACCTCGAAAAAGTCGTCTATCCCACTAATATTTTTCGGCGCGCTCTTTAAAATTTACCCCGTACCTATAGTGGCGCCACCCTTATTTAAAGGTGTTTATGGACACTTTTTAATACACAGTCTGTACTCCTTTCTTTTACACTCCATACATCTGATATTTGTTGGCACCAGTGCTGCCAACTTGACGGGTTTCCCGTTAGATTTGACGGGACAGCGAGGTTGGCAACGTGAAAAAATTGTGTTTAACGGCTAACGGATTTTTAACGGGACAACAAAAATTTATGTTTTTTTTTAGATTTGTTTTCGAAATAAAAATAATTTGGAAATGGCAAAAATTAAATTATAATTTTATTCATTTTTTTAGTTTAAAAATACGAAAAAATGTGCAATACATTCTTATCTTTAAAAAGTTGAGAGAGTAAATTTTCATTTGACGTATTCTTTTAAATATAGCTCGGAAACTGTTTTGTCGTTGGTCGGCCAAAATGATGCGCTACTGTTGAATAATAGAAAACTCTACTACTCTACTCTACTACTCTATTTATTTCATTCTCTCTCTTTACTGTTTGAATCGCATATCCTGTGAACCTGTGATATCCTTGAAAGTCAATAAGTTTTAGTTCTTTATTACCTATAGCATGTAGTAGATGGCGCTATTACAAATCCCAAATAGAAAACGTTTGGTTCCCAATGGATCTCACAGACTCAGAGTACTGGAGCCCGAAGTGATCCATTTGAATGATGGATCCGAATGTACCAGTACGCGTGACGAAATGTACTATAGTGATTCGGTCACTAGAAATGAATGATTGACACTTGTCTACCGTACTTGACGGGCTTTGACGGCATGATAGTGTTCTCTACAACGGGAGCTAGGTTTTAATGTTGGCAACACTGGTTGGCACTGCCACAGACTACTAAGACGATTAGAAGATACCTACTACGGCACTATCATAGATTACTGACTATGTACTAGAGAGGCACTATTTTTATTCTAACACCACTGTCTGTGTTTTTGAGAGTTGAGAATTTGAGATAAGTTAGTTATTGAATTGCGTGTTGAGAAATAGAACTTGTTAGTATTTTGTGAACTTTTTTTCCGTTTATTTAATTGTGCATATATGTCGAGTCGTGGAGTCGTTTGGCACCATCAGTCACCCGGCGTAACAAATGATTTATCAATTGTTCATTTTTGATACCCAAAAACCTACCTGCACCTACACATTCATTGGAACATGCATCTACCTTAATGATTAACTTGTTACAGTCGTGGATATGGGTTTGGTTTACAATTCGGTCGCCTGAATTTGAAGATTCTGTTACCGTGAGTGGGTCAAGGGGGTTTATCTGAAGCACCCCCACTCGATTTTTGTTGCCGGAGCAGCGTCGAAGTTTTTAATTATTTTTAAAAATATTGGTAAATGACTAATTAATTACGTATTTGAATTATCGATATATCGTGCTGATCGATCTAGTGAATCGATATTTCGCCCTAAAGAATCGAGATCGAATCTTTTTCTGTTTTATAAAGATTTGTAAAATTATTTAAAATTAGTTGAATGTGCCCCAACTCGTAAAGATAAATCAGGTTAAAATTGTCATAAAAATTACGAAATATAACCTCAAAATTAGATTTTTAAAAATTTATAAAAAAAAACTAAGCACGTCCGGCAGGAAGGGTAAGTAGGGGGTGACTCTACAACTCCTCTCCCTCCCCCACACCACCCCCACCCCCTAATTCAGGCGACCGAATTGTAAACCTTACCCGTGGATATCTCCTACTCAGGTAAGCAGATCTTATTTTACTCTGAATATGTACCTAAGAATGTCAGATCTCTACCATCGTACCGTCTTGCAAAGCATTTTTATTGAATGAAAGAAATATTTATTTTAGACAGCACAGGCAATAACAAATGAATAACAAAAAACGAACCTGTTTGAGGCCAAAAAAGGCTATACTCTTGATTACATATAGATGTAACTTCTGTGAATATGTTACAGAAGACAGATCATGTCAAAAAGGTTAAAAACACACTTTTTAATTCATGGTTTTTATTGCAGTTGTCTTCAGAATGTGTGCTTTGTACAGAGTGTTTGACACTGCTTCAAGATCAAGCAAACACAATTAGTGAAGGATTACCTGCTTTTGGTGATAGAAGTATATGTTTTACTTATGGCAATTGTATTCTACGTCCAACTAGAACATATCCCGTAAGACAAGATCGACAAGAAAGAAACATTTTAATTAGACATGTTCCACTGCATCTGGTAAATATTTTTATTTATGTTGTAATATAAAAAAAAATCAACTTCTTATTAATGTTTTTATTTTCTCTAGCCTTCTTCGGTTTTTAGTTATAATACTGTAATTAGATGTGTTTATAATATTGAGTCCCAATAAGTGAAGGTTTCACAAATAAAAAATGTTGTGGATATTAGATAATATTACCTATTTAAACACAATTACTGCCTGATTATTATCATATGTGGAGAGCCATGCTGCAACTATATTAGTAGTATATTTGTAGCATGAATGGGTCGGCTCGACTGGCTAAGTACCATGTTCTCACAGAATACCATTGTGAAATAACAGCGTAATGCTGCTGTGTTTCGTATGGTGAGTGTAAAGAACAAGAGACCCTTTTTACTGGGAACAAGGCATTCCATCGTAGTCCTCAGGAGTGACAATGCATCTGTATTTAGATTTGTAATCGAGAATAGATGTAGATGTCTATGGGCTACAGTAAACAACTTTGTGCTCGTTTGTCACCCTATCTTATAAAAATATGTATTTCATGACATTTACATCACATACAGTACACACTTTTATTGAGTTTATATCCCGTTGTGAAATGTTTCATATTACATGTTTAATTGTGTTATTTTTAGATCTCAAGATTGGAAAGAGTATGTGCTGCTTGCTGGAAATCAGCTACAAGAGAAGTGCAGTCCTAGTTTGTCAGAAGCTATTTTGCCTGATATTGGATCAAGTAGCGATCTCAATATTTTTGAGCCACCGCCTCTACCACAGCAAAACCTACACACTACTCATGTTAGATCAAATCCAACAATTAGGTCTTCTGTGAATAAGCGTGCTGCTAGCACATCTAATCACTGTATATCTTGTAATTGTTTTGAAACAGAACATTTACTGGTACATTCATCTATAAAGGATCTGTTATTACTTAACAATAAATTCTATGTGCCACCAACTTTAAGCATTTACTTAGTAAATCTTAGAACTGGTGATAGTAATGAAAGGTTGGTAACTCTCTTTAATAAATCTCGTGTCACCATAGAACGCTTAATGAATAAGGCCAGAACATGTCTAATTAATGAGTTTGCTCCACTGTATTTAGGATTTAATCCTATGACTGTTGAAGATGTTGCTTCTAGAAATAGAATAATACCAGACAGGTTATTTGGTAATCCTGATTTGCCACCTAATTCTAAACCAGCAATAGTCATCTGTGATGCTACTTATGTATTTATTCAAAGTAGTTCTTAATTATTTCAAAAAGAAACATACAGTTTGCAAAAATTGGATAATTTGTTATTATGATAGTGATATTTATATCCCATTGTGATTATGATAGTGTGTTATGATTATGATGGTCATATTGTGGGTTGGCTCAGACCATACAAGGCGACAACTTATGATGCTCAGTTACAAGTTTAATCATACGTAATGAGGAAGCTTCTTTAAGATCATTTTTTTGAAGAGGTGACGTTTACATACTTGATAGAGGATTTAGGGATGTAATTAATGAACTCCAGGGATATGGCTTTGTAACACATATGCCAGAGTCTCTACTTAAGAATGAACATCAATTAACAACCCAGCAGGCAAATCGGTCTCGTTTTGTTACAAGTTTAAATGCTTTATTAAAGAAAATTTGTGGCAAATGGATTGTTATAATATCAAAGAATACGTAAATGAAATTAACTCCGGGGAATGAGATGATCGCCACCATATTGATTCCATGAAAATTAATTCGAAAATTGTACAAAATAAAATATTGTAAAGTAAAATATGCTTAAAAATAAGTCCCGCTGGGTTTCTTGCTGGTTCTTCCCAGAATAGAAGTTTTTCCGAACTGGTGGTAAATAAAAAAATACTTTCAATAAGTAATATGCAATAATCTATATTGAATAAAATCATACATTTCATTTCATTTAATTACAACCATAGGTTAGTTTTAAATATTAAAAGGTTTTAAATACAATTTTTAACGCATTATATTTATATTTTAAGTGTTGCAGTATTTGAATACTTTACAATTAATGTAAAGTATTTGGAGCTGAATACTTTTTGTTTTTTACTGTTTCAAAGATACTGTTGCGCGCCTAAGTTGACGTCATGTACCCGGCACTATCGCCATCTAGTGTCGAGGACGAGAGCGAGGGGAGCTTTCCAGAAAACGACATCACTAATATTTCAACCGACAGCGCCATCTAGTATCGAAACGAAGAACTAAGCTTCTAGAAGCCCGACACTCGAATTTTCGGCGCCTAGTCGATTGGCGCGCGTATTTACTTGAATATGCTGGATGTTTCGGTGATAATGTGTATTTAAAGGCGCTGCAATATACGAGTGGGGAAGTATTGAATTTGGCGAGACAAGCGAAGCTTCGGAGCGGAATAAAGTGAATCAGTGTGATTAATTATTAGTGTTTTAAGTTTAATTAGTGTGAAATGAATAAAAGTGTTAATTTTGGTAATTCAATCGGCAGTTTTTATCGTTACGAAACTCAAGCTTGTAACAATTGGCGTCAGAAGTGGGATAAAATCATTCCGATTTTACCTAAGGAGGAAACGGAGGGTGTCCGTACCCGAAGTCAACGCCAGCAGGAGACGGACCAGATACGATTTGGTGGTGCAACGCCGCAGACATCGGAGGGCCAGCCACCGGCCGCAGGCCCGTCAGTAGCCCCTATATCTGCAGCACCTGACTTAGGTGCTCTGATGTTGATGCTGCAGGAGCAGGCTCGCCGACAGGAGGAGTAGGCCCGTTGGTTGAAAGAGCAGCAGGAGGAACAGGCTCGCCGACAGGAGGAACAGGCTCGCCGACAGGAGGACGCGGACAAGACGAACAGACCCGTCGGTTGGAAGAGCAGATGCTTCTCATGAAGGACCTTCGCGCTATCTTCGGAACGGAGATAAAGGAGGTGAAGGATAGGGTTGCTCAGCATGACAAAATTGGCGTCGCCAAACCCGAATGCTGTGTTGACAGACTGAATAAATTTATACATTTTAGACTTTTGATTAATTTTCAAGACCATCATTTAAAAAAATCGTTTTAATTTTAATACATATTTATTTATAAATAGGGTGCAATTTGGCATTTTTTAAATAATTTGCATGCGAAATTTGGAAACGATTGTAACGTCAAAACACATCTCGTGTTGACATTTATACGTGTGAATTGACGTGTTAGCACAGAATAAATAATAGTACTACGTACAGAAGTTGCACTCCTTTGATGTCAACTGCTTGCCGACGTTTAATAGCCTACATAATTATTATTATTCAGATAAATCACGCACGCAAGCTAAATAAAACTTTATCGCTGCGCGTTAGTGTCCATATCACTTTGCATCTTTTCCACTTCCTAAGCCACAGCGGACTTTCCGTGGTTATTAAGGGATGTCAATAGAAAGTAAAAAAATACATTGCGAAATGTTAATTATGTTACTTAGGTGAAGTACCTATTCTGACTATGATCGACAGACCATATTTTCGCACCTACGTGAGTTCTGCGATGCCTAACGAATGCAACTTGCAAGGCCATTCGTCGGGAATCGCGACGCTTGGCTCGGAAGGCAAAGGTATATAGTGTAAACAACAAATAAACTTGAAATACGATTCCTAACAGAAATGTAATCGTATTCTATTTAGTTAAAAATTTTGTTAGTAAACAAAGTTTTGATTTCAGTGTTTTGTGTCATTTTAGCTTAAAATATTTTAAGCTAAAATAACAGCTTGAAATATTTTAATACAAAAAGCAAGTATATGTACGTAAGTAGATATTTGGATAGTGAAGTAAATTTCTACTACATTTTGTAATAAAGTTCGTAGATATTAAATAAATTATTACTTAATTCTTTTTTGCTATAAGTACCTATCTAATAATAATATAATATATAATATATATACTTAATAAAATATATAATAAAGATATACTTAACAGGAATATTTTGTTGGTCATTTAGCGTCTATCCACGAAATGATTATAGTAGGAACGACGATTTTCCATATTAAAATTTATTAAATAATGAGTAATATACATAATATTATATAGTTTTTAAATTACATTAAACTTTTGAACTACTTTATCCTATAATTAAATATACACTAAACAAAAAGTATTTCAACAATATTTAGAAAAAGTTATATACGCTGTTGACCAGCGTCAAAAACATTCAATCGCCTCCAACGCGCTAGCCCTGACTGCGTTATTTCGCCCGGGCGCGTCGCGATTATAGGTAATTATTTCACATAGGTAGCAAGAGTGATAGAGGCCTGGTGTTAGTGACATTTTAGTGGTTACGCGGGCTCCGCCCACTCCCCCGTTCTATTACATATGTATTCTATGGTGTTAATAATTCGCGGTGTTGTAGGTATCAGCGCCAGTAATTTGTTTGTGGGCTTTTGTAAGTTTGTCTGATTGATGGACTCATTGAATGATTGTATCCCGATAATATGCAAAATGCGCAATTATAAGTACAAATAAAACATCATCACTTACACGTATCATAACAAAAGTACTAACTGCACGCGAACGATGTCGCGAGAACAGCAAGTTTGTAATAAAACTGTAATTATATAAATAAACGTGAAATAAGTCGCGAAACCATTAAAAAATGTTTGATAAATAACATAAAATGAACAAACGTATCTAAAGATACTGTATGGAATAAAGGAACAAACAAACAAAAGAGAACAAACAACGCAGCAGTAACACGGTAACCGACATAGTCCAACAGATCAGTAAAGACCGATTTACACTTCGACAAATACAGTAGCGAGTTAACTTGCGAACCTGGCGAGTTAAGTTTGAACCTCGTTTGAACGGCAATAAGCGAGTTAAGTAGCAGGTTAACGATTAAGTTGAACGGGATAGCCGGCCGAGCTATTTTTCGGCGAGTTAAGTGCGAAGTGCTGTCCTCCCGCGCGTCTCCCGCCACCTGCAACTAAACTCGCCGTTCGTGTAAACGAGCGAGTTTAGTTCAGTGAATAAGATGATAGGACGCAACGTTTGCGCGCCAAAACGTACAATTGTACTTTCATAAATAAACTCGCCACAAAGTTTGTACGATACTGATTATTGAATATTTATACGTTTTATATTGAGTTTTAATTAAAATGCATGGAAGATATCACGTATAAATTTTTACAGGAGTATCTAGAGTACGAATGTTTATATAATAGTAGAAATTCAAATTGTAAAATTAAACATGCTCGAGATGCTGCACTCATGAAAATTATTAAAAACTTCTTTAACAACAACCATTAATACTTCTCTGACTGGATCATTTAAGTCTTGACGTAATTCTAGAACCATCTTAAACGAAAACCATAAAAATTCTGTAGTATTGAAACGTCATACTCTAACAAACTCTATGAACTAATGTCCTTAACTAAACTCGCCACGAAGACATTGTTTGAACGCTACTGCCCACTTAACCGTTCACTGTCAACTGCCTTGTAACTAAACTCGCTACTGTACTTGTCGAAGTGTAAATCGGTCTTAATGGCCGATTGTCTGTCATAAGTTGCATAAGTTGAGAGGACGCCACGTGTTCGAGTTCAACCCTCGACATATAAAATTGTACTTTTTTTAAGTAAACTCGCCACTAAGAGATTTGAATGCCACTGTCCTATTAACCGTTGAGTGTCAACTTCCCTGTAACTAAACTCGTTATACTTGTCGAAGTGTAAATCGGCTATAAGCTCATGTGGTAATGGACGGGCTAGCTCGAAGAACCGGCAACTGATGGGCAATAAAATAGAATGGAATAAAAGAAAGAAAAGAAAATGTTAAGGTACATCATTACATGCCATTATAAATAATTAGTAACCCATATAAGTCAATGTAAAGCTCTTGAGCTTGCTTAATATTGTTTCACGTTAATGACCATCGAGAATTCGCTAAGACTAATTAATGAAATAAAAGATATATTGTGTCGTATATCTTGACTTTAGGATGAACAAAGCGTATGTTCTCATAATTACTCTTAGTTAACGAGGTACATATGGATGTAATAGACTTAACATAATAATATTGTTTCGATTTTATAACATTTTATTACTTTGTTTTGTTATAGCCCAATTAAAACAAAATAACAAAACTATAATGTAAGAGATCCTAAAAGCACCGATTGATTCTATTATTTAAATAAAAATTGCTAAAAAAATACAATGACTATATAGCATTAGTTGTAAAATATATCTATATTTTTATTTTTCATTTTTGGTTTCATCTTGAATGGTGGCAGCTTGGAACAT